ACCTGGATTATATCTTTGCTAAAATTACACAAACTGTTGTTTGTGGAGGATGTCTTGTTCAAAGATATGAAGATATTTAAGCAGCTTGATCCCTAATTTGAAGACAAACAAACAAAAAAGTAGTGTTTATTTTCTTGTGTTGATGCTCAGCTGTTAAATCTTGCATAATGTAGCACAAATGAGGCCAAGTGGCTCTGCTGTTTCTTCCAATTTCACTCTAAACTCATTGTTCCGCTCGACTTCATCAGAATTATTTTCAGCAGTAACAGAAGTTCTTGTTCAACAAGCTCAAAAAGCAACTACAAGTACTGTCCAAGGAGTGCCAACTCTGTAACACTGCAACTAAAAATGATACATTTTATTCATTTCTTTCCTGTTAATTTCCCTCTAAATAAGAAAATAATTTAAAAACAGAGATTACACTGTATCCAAACAGCTGAAATGCTGAATCGGTGATAAAACAAAGGCTTGTTTGACACCGAGCTGACATTCAGTTGCCGGAAATTTGGAAGAATCGTTAAACATTTGATCCTTTCACACTGGTGTCTCTGGTGGACTCTTTGAGTTGAGCCGATCAGAGAGAAAGAGAAATGTGAAAAGGAACCTAAAACCTTAATAAAAGCATTCCTGTAGGCGATAAAATTATTCTTGTTCATGTTTTTGACTACACGTTGAAACAAGCCAAATTGGGCCAGACCAATGCCGGCTAATAATTCTGAACTAAAAATGTCATTTCACCCAAACACTGTTTTCATTTGATACAGTACATTACTTAATGGTGCATTAACCTTTGCTCCATTTGTCACAGCAGAGCAAAGGTTTTCTTTTGGACAGAGGTAAATTGGACATGAGAGTTGGCAGTTGGACGTTGTTATTTTTGTCCAAAAAGCTGGTGATGGGAGGACAGACAGCTTGGGGACCAGCTGTCATGAACCTTTTTTTAATTTCTTTATTTTTTAACATTGGTTTACTATACAGTGTAAGAGAATCATATTTGTTAACAAGCAAATTGTGTCCTAGTTGCCCCCTTCTGGCTATTAAACAGATTACAGGTTCAGGATCTACCAGCAGACCTACATTTTGGCAAAGTCTACAATTCATGGTGAGTAAAAGGCAGTGATGTGTCTTTGTTGTTTAGAGTTTTGATGGATATTGGGGGGTGCTGATGTTAAACCTATGAGCCAACAYTAGGGGAGTCAGGGGACAGAAACAGTATAAGAAATTCATGGTTTTGCACAGTGGTGGGCACCAGCCTGCTAAAGCACAAATCCGCTAATTGCGGACCTAAATATTTCGTTTGCGCTTTAGCGGTCTTACTAATTTTTATAATTCATAAGTGGATTTGCACTTTTTAAAATTATAATGCAGTACCGCTAATAACTAATTATCTACCAGTCATCATAATCTTGAACAGCAGAAGGTATGGCTGTCAATGAATCACAACACACGATCTGTCCAACAGCTCCCCTCCCAGATAAACTCACTTATTGGAAAGGTATACATCCTTGCTGACTGTTGCTTTCGGTCAAGGGTCTCATTTCCCACAATGCTTTGTGTCTGCTTACATAGCAGGAAGGCAGTGTTTAGAACTCCAAAAACAGTTAACGTTTGTAATCCATACTAAAATTTTGTATGTATTGATTTATTTTACTTTACAATCGGAGCTCCTTTTTAAAAAAATAAATAAATAAAGTTTAAACGCTGGAGCTCAATACTTGACGTAATTGGTCAAAGCAATGGGGACCAACGGGGTTAGAGAAGCAGAAATGATTTAAAGATGTTATGCTGATGAAGACTGACATCTAGTGGTCAACTGGAGCAACTACATGGAAAACTTTAAAATCCAAGCTCTTATTTTGAAGAGAAGATAGTTTCCTGTACTCTGTGCTTTCGTTTCCRGTCACAAATCAAATCCGTCATGTACCCAGAATGCATCGCTTCAATTTTCCAATAAACAGTTTTAAATTTACTTCCTTGATGCTTCTTTAATGAAAAATCTACAACAAGCATAAGAAAAAGACAAAGAAGCAGCAGAACTAGCAATCCTTAACAACGTTTTAATTTTTACACCAGGAGCCAAAGTTCTGTTTCAGGAACTCACATCCCCAGCAATCGGCGGTTGTGGGATTAAGCTGTAAAAGGGTTCATACACCACTAGTTGGCAGTGTTGTGCATATATCGTACATGAATTATTGCCAGCTAGTAAGTGTCAAATTGAATTTGCACTTTAAAATTAGCTTCCACTAGTTTTTCTATGGCATAAGCGCTTTTGAAGTTGCGGACCTAAATATTTTCATAAGTGCTGTAGAAATTGCGGAGCTGTGCTGCCCACCACTGGTTTTACAGTTCACTTGACCCATAAATAGTCTGCCAGGATCGCCAAGGTTCCTGTATGGTCTATCCTACGCAGCTTAGAATTCCGTGGTGGTTTGGTCTGTGCATTACGATTAATGCTAATGTTACTATTCCCCTTCTGGCCTTTGCAGTCATGGTATATACTAAAAATCTGGCATCTGATTTCATTTCAGCTTGTTGCAAACCACCACACCAAGCGCAGAAGGAAGAAAGTCCCAAAGAAGAAGAACAAAACCTCAGTTCATCATTAGGTCTCCAAAGGTCAAGAACTAGAGAATCAATGCAGGTTTTATAGCAGGAATGACCCCAACAACATGCTTCAACACTTGCGCACAAACACAAATCCCARTTGAATTCTGTCACAAAAGAATTGAGGAGCCTTTTCAATGAGCYTCTTCAGACAATGGCCACCAGTGCTACACAACCTTGTTGTGTTGACAGCTTGGTTTATAGTTTGCCATAAGTTATCTGCAGCTTTATGACTGTGTGAGAACGTTTTCCTTTCTATACATTGACTATCCCATGCCCAATAATTTATGGAACTACRTTTACGTAACTTTTATAGTTCATTAACTTTGCTTGTATGTGAGAACATTCACTTTTAACCCCAACACTTTTTGTTTTTTGCCTTTCAAATGTMTATTTGTGTACTATTCAAACCTTTATTGCTGATCTATATTTTGTTTACAGCTTAGCCTTCCCATGTTKACTGATCTCAGTAATTAACTTAAGGATTTAAATGCAGTAAAGCCGAACGGATACAAATAAGACAGAAGTAGTAAGAAATCAGGTAAATTCCCTAAGGGTTAAAGGATTATCTTTTCTTTAAAGCTCTGTTTTTCTGTCATCTCTGCTCTACTGCATTGAGAATAAGATGCTTGAAGGCTGTTTCGTTGACAGGCTTCTACTCTGAGATCTTTCCCCCCCTTTTCTCTTCCATTTCTCTCTTTATCCTGTCCTCCCTTTTCTACGGAGGCCCTCTAAGACCCCATCAAGGCCCATTTTGTTCATCTCCCATGTGAAGGGTCAGCGCTTACCCCTCGAAAGCAAACCAGTCTCTCAATGTGAGGACCTTTGTGTACGTCTGCACCCCCCTCTCTTCCTCTCTTCCTCTTTCTTTCTCTCACTTACTTGTGCCCTATAGACAAGGACTGGCTCCTTTCACAGTGCCTCCCTTCCTCCCATCCCCCGGAGTGGACTTCTCTGGCCCCTAACGGCGCAATTCTATGCCTTATTGCTCCCAGCTCCTCCGTGGAGCGCAGTCTCATCAAAGCGTTTGTGAGGACACAGAAAGAAATGAGCTGGCTTTCTGCTTAAACACGTTGACCTATAGGTGAGATCACGTGGTGACYAACGCAGGGCAAGCATTTCACAAGAGAAAAGGGCAGAATGTGTATAATGTCTCTTAAAGGGCTCCAAGAGGCCATCTTGGAAGGGAAAATGCCAGGACCTACTTAGAAACGAAGCCGTTTTATGAGTTTGACCCTGCTGGCTGTCATCCAGCTTAATCCACATTGTGCTCTGACTTCCTACGGACCAAAGCAAGTTTCTCAAGCTCATCTCCACTTCGTGTCTAATCTCTCCCTGCTCTTTCATTAGGACCACACCGTGTGTTGATTCTAAGGAAATGAAGCGAACACCTCATTTCGAGCAAGAATGAGCTGGAAGAAGCTTTTGTCTAGCGAAGGAATGCTCATAAGACAGAAAGGAACACTGTTTGGTCTGACTTGGGTTGCCATATTGGGGCTGTAGAAAGCCATGGCAACGCAAGAGGGTCCGGTGGATCACATAGTGGTGATACAATACAGCAGTGCGGGGTTTGTCATTCTAGTCAGGCCTGACCCAAATTACAACATCCTGGGAAAAAAAGGGAAAAAAGTGGATGACATCAACCAGCTTACATGTGCAGACAGACTTAATTGGGCTTGCGCTTTTTTTTTTTTTTTTTTGGCTAATAGGAAAAATAAACAAAACATATGGATGTTTGAAGTCTAATCACTGACGAAACGGCTCCCTTAATGATTTAACTCTACACGCCATGGCCTGTGGCTGCTGGATTATTGTCTCTCCAATTGTTTACCCAGTTTGTCTACAAGCTACTCTCCCATCTGCGATTRGAATTCTCAGCTTTTAAGCTTAATAATCTTTTACATTTTCACGTGTTTTATCGTCTTGTATCAACAGCCCCGAGAAAGGAGTGCAGCTTTAAATGGAGCAAACAACAAAAGCAATTAAGGACCATGTCTACAGAAGTACCGTGTCTGACCAAAAGGCAGAATATCCGAACGGATCCGCAAAATGAAAAAAAAAATGACCGCTACTACAAGAGAAGCTAAGTGCACAACTTCATCAAAAGTTTTCTTTGTGTGCGTGAACAGAAGTCTGGAACTTGTGAATCCCACACACTCGTGGAAACATCAAAAATCCTAAAGTTTGCAACCCCAAGGGATGCACACACACACACATTCACAAAATAGCCTTAAAAACCGTTTGTACAAAGAAGTCTGGCAGAAGTACAGCTGCACACAGAACTTTTTTTTTTTTTTGCTTGTCTGGCTGCTCAAATAGCCATCTCATCGGCACATCACTCATAAAAAAAGAAACTTTTCGGTATGTGTGCAGCTAGAAAGAAAGAATCCACTTACTTTACTCTGGAGGTCTTGTAGTTGTATGTCAGGGCTTAGAGCAATAGTTTCTCTGGGCTCTTTTTAATCTGCACTTCTGCCCTGCTGCCCTGCCTCTCCAATACTATTTCTCTTTGTGAGCTGTGCGCACGATAGCTGTGTAGACTTTTTTTTCCTTTTTCTGCGAGTGTGTGCATGTGTATGTGTGTGTGTGTGTGTGTGTGTGTGTGTGTGTGCTGCATGGACTAAGGGGAGGGTAACAGGGTGGGGTGTTCAACTTTGGGTTTCCTGACTCGTGATCAAGAGCACATTACCCCCGAAGGTCACTCCAGGGACGGCCCTGCCTGGCACTCACCGAGACACCAGAGAGGAGATGTGAGATGGGAGGATGAGAGTGTGAGAGAGGGGAGGAAAACGAAACAAAAGAAGAGGGCATTTAAGTGCCCAAGCGCACAGGAAATCCATGGGGACCAAGAGGAAGAGTTGGCAGAGGAGACCCGCAGATAAACAGAGGAAGAAGTGAGACAATGAGCTACAGCGATCCAAATGAGAGGCTGATATTTCAACGGAGAAGAGCAACAGAGCAAACAGAGCCGTCAAAGCACACGGTTACATAAAATACATGTTGATCCATGGAAATGTGAGCGCAAACCAATCAATAGAGTATTGATTAAAAAAACACAGCTTTTGTGTATGGRCTGCCACAAAGAAACTACTTTGTCATCATGTGCATGCCTTCCGCGGTGATTTAAATCAGCGTTCGTGTTTCATTTCGCACCTTCTGGTCACCTGAGGTGTGAAACTACAAACAAAAGCTGTGTTTCTATAATTACTTCTGACARGTTCGTGCGTTTCTTTCCATGACACGTTTCGGAACTCACTTTGTCTTTTGGACACTGACGCACGGTTAAAGAAGGGGAGGGGGATGTTGGATTTCGCTGCTGGTTTTGTTTCTGATGTGCCMTTTGAAAACGATCCGACGTGTAAGAAAACGAGCATAAACTGCAACTACAAGTCTTTCAATTTGGTAATTTTTTTTAAATTTTATTTATTTACC